TATATATATATATCTGTGTGTGTATAAATTTATATACCGGACGCAAAATGCTAATCTTACGGCTTATATCAATTATTAACTTTCAATAGAGAAATAGAGAAAGGCAGAGTTTTCATTAAAAACCTGAAATATCAAATGGAATCCCAAACGGAATCTCACTAAGAAGCTCCGTGACATTTAAATGATTAAATTATTTTTGTACAAGAGCGCGTAGGCCCGTAATCTTTCTATTAACATCGATTATATTAACCGTATAACTGTACAAAGAAAAAAAAAGAGAAAAACATTATGTAGTATGTTACCTTTCTGTGTAAATTTTTATCTCATCGGTGTCGCTGAAGAAGCAGATGCACTATGAATGAATTACTCCTACACACAAAAATAATGCAACTCGCCTTCTTTCACACGTCATCCACACGTATAATCCTTTCGCACAATTTCTTACTAGAAGCTTATAGTGTTGTTCTAAAGTGCCGTTCTGTTCTCTGCATACCGTCCGATAGTTGCTAAAACGGGCAAATGGGAGTGTAATAAAATTATAATAAAGTATCCTTACGTAAACAATTTTACTTTTTCGCTTTCTTAAAATAATTCATCGACTGCGTGCATGTTAAAGAAAAGCAAGCAAAAGTTTACACAACTTTTTTATAGCGTTTATAGAATTCGAGGTATTTGAGAAGAACCGGTTGGCCACTTTCAGAGAGGTATGCAAAAATCTTTTCTTTTTTTTTCGTAAACATTGTGCGGCTCGCGAGACATCAAGCTGACGTTAATGGAATTTCCGCTTATTTATTTACTCGTGCATCTAGACATACATCGCGTCATAGATATAGAAATGATAATATAGTCGTTTAACGCATTAATTTTTTTCCCACAGATTTTCATGATGAGGCCACGGCTAGAAATGCTACTATTTATAGTAGCGTTAGCTACGCACACACGTGGACTCCCCTATGGAGCCTCGTCACCTCAATTGCAGACACGTTAGTATATACAAATGCAGAATTTATGTAACACATATTTGGCTTTTTTCCGATCTCTGTTAAAAATACATAAAAATATAAATTTTAAACTGTTTAATAATTTAATTATATATATTTTTTATATGAAAAATATAAATCGGAAATCTAATGTTTTTTAAATAAACACATCTATATTCTATTCAAATTTTTTTACTCTATAATCGAGTACTTGAAAAAAATGCAAAGAAAATGTTAGTCTCTGTAAAAAAAAAAGAAGTACTTTAGTTAAACAACATTTCAGAAGATCAAATTGTCTGGTATGGTGACAATCGTGCTTCCCAAATTCAAAACACCGTCTTTCCTACTTACAAAGAAAACATTGTTCCGCAACAGACTGGTCAAGCGCAATTTAATTGGGATCAATCTCAGCAAAGTAAGACCCCATTTTGTGAAATATGTTATTTTACGTACTTTTAATAAGAAATTAAAATTTATTGTATTATTACAATGTCGTTGCGATACAGACACATTTGAAGGATACGAAACGCATGCATCATCAGAATCGCAAGAGCAATATAATCCCGACTATGTATATCAGTCTTCCGATCAAACGCTGCAGCCCTATCCTAATGCTGTGGATGATTTCACTATCAGTTGCAACGGTCAAAATAAAATTTGTGTAGCCAAAAGCTTGTGCATCGACGGATACGTACATCCCTTGAAGCAAGGCTTTATTCGGCCAGTACAAGTAAGATAATTTTATTTATTATTCCTTATTTCTCAAGACGAGGAGATTACTAATTTGATCTCGCATTTATTTGACGGTGGTCATAAAAAACACGTTTTGTTAACATACATGTACAATGTAGAACAGTATGATAAGTAAAATATAATTTATATTGATTTAATAATCCTTGTACATTTCATGCGTATGTAGGTGCAAGAATGCAAGCTGAGCCACGAAATATGTTGCACCGTGCGATATGATTTGACTAACTCGCCATATGACAACGACCAAATTAATACGGTACTGAAAGATAATCGATATCCAGAACCCACTCTGGAGAACGATCAGAGATACGTTCCGTACGGAGAAAATAACCAGGCGGATGTTGCTGAATTGAAGCCTGAATTGGGAAGTGATGCTGAATTGCAAACCGCGCCAAACAATGGACATGCGATTGAATCAGCTAATCATGCTAATCAGCTTCGCGGCGATACAAAACCGACTGAAGAGGCACCGATTGATTACAATCAAATAGCTGCCGATACAAATCAACAAGAACAGTATCAAACAGGTACACAATAATATATCAGTTTATTCCTCGACGTGTGTATAATTTTCCGTAGTTTTCTGTTAGAGCTATAAAAATAACATATATTATACAAGAATTGGAAGAACGCTGCATCGCATTATGTTATACTATTATATCTATTTGTATTAATGTAAATTGATATTGCGTATACAGGCGATGCTAGTGCTAGCGAACCAGTTTTTCCTCCACTCAAGTCAGCTCCTACGAATTCCAATTCTGCGGTCTTCCAGTTTCCGGTTCAAGCAGGATGCGCGGCTGCGTTGCTCTGCGTGGAAGAGCAGTACTGTACATTGGAAGGAGTAATTAGCCCGGAACCAGTCGCGCTTTCCAGCAAGCAGCTTCTGCGACGTGTTCCGCTAACCGTAAGATACGGCTTAATCATATTCGCATATAATGCTAAAAGAAAACAGTTTTAACAATCGCAAGAAAGGATGATTGAAAGGAAACGCTCTTTCGAAATTAATTTCTTTTACTAATAATAGAAACTTTTCCCAATCGACAAAATAAAAATAAAAGAAATAAAAGTTTAAAAAGAATATAATCTCTTCTATAAAAAAAGAGAGTAATCGGATACGCGATTGGGCGAATCGCTCGTTTTGCAGAGCTGCAGAAATTCAGAGACCGGGGTGGTCGGCAAGTGTTGCCGTGATCCGAATTACGTAGACCCATGGCCGACGGGCAATCTACCAGCCAACTATACAGGTGGTTTCGACGAGCAGGGCTTTCCAACGTTTCTGAACATTGCAACGGTGCGACCGCCAAAAAAGCCGGTCACGCAATCACCTATCAAGACGAGTCCCAAACCGCCGGCGCCGCAACACGAGCATTCGCAACCCACGAACGTCGTGCCTCTGGTGCCGGACCATTCTGACCTAACGCCGCAGCATGTACCGATTCCGACCCAGGTTCCTATAGTGCCGATCAGCACACCCGTGCCCTTCATCAAAAATCCGTACGACATTCCGAGCAATCAGGATATCATTACCGTCGTGCCGCAATTGCCGAATAATCCATGCGGAGTAAGAAATTACGTGAGTATCCGACAAAATGGAATTTTCAACATCATAATTGTTGTGCGAAATAATCTACTAAAGTAATGTTGTTAAAAAAGTATTTGTACATTATGGTCTTTGATATTTAACGTGAAAATTGAAGAGTCGAGTACAATTTGCGCAAATGCTATTTTTATGGAAGGATATATATACATGAGTGATTCGAGAATTAAGAAATTCTACTTATAATTAAAATTTTATTTGTATTTTTGTATGCTAAAAGGGCCAACGTCCACCCGGCTTCAGAATAACCGATGCGGCTTTCGGTGAGATCCCATGGCAAGTGATGGTCCTGTGGTCAGAGGAACGTAAAATTTTGTGTTCCGGCGCGCTCATATCGTCAGACGTCGTTCTAACAGCTGCCAGTTGCGTAAATAGGTAAAATAAACTCATGTTTTTCTTGTCATCAATTGAATATTTTCTAAAAAAGAAAACTTGTAATTGGGGATTTGAACTACATTCAGATTTTCACCGAATGAATTGTCTGTGAAACTGGGAGAATGGAAATTGGGTTACGAACTTAAATACGAGGAACCACTCCCGTTCGAAATCATCCCAGTACGAACGATTAAATATCATCCTGGCTACGTGCAGGGACTGTCCAGCAATGATACCGCAATATTACTCCTGGAACACCCCACGACTTTTAATTTACACATCAATACGTTGTGCCTACCTGACGACTATCAAGTGCAAGAATCGCAATGCATAGTGACGGGATGGGGTAAATCAATATTACAAGGTACATATTTACGTTTCTATCACTTGAAAAGTAAGTCTCTTTAGAGATTTACTTAGCAGAAGATGAGTATACACAAATGCAATGTATGAATTTAGCACATTACGCTGGAGCCATTATGCACATGGTCGACGTGGATCTCCTGTCGCACGACGTTTGCCAAAATCGCGTTTTGGGTGCAGAGTCTCACATTAACATCGCGCATAACGTAATCTGTGGCAAAGCGCGTAACGACAATAACATGTGTCAAGCAGACATCGGATCTCCATTGGCTTGCTACGATGGCAATGGAGCATATCATATTGCCGGAATTTACAGCCAAGACACTGGATGCTTGCCTACAAATCAAGTATGTATCATTACTGCCAATTTTTTGAGACAGTTTTTCTTTCGTCGCGTTTGCAAGATAATAATATGTCACGTGCCAACTGCAAACTAATTTCAAATCATAATTCGACAATATATACACATATATATATACCCAGATAGCACAAGGATGTCCTTAGGACGTCCAAAGGGCATCCAGGACATACATGTAGGATATCCTGAGGATATCCTATTTTAATTCTCGGATCTCCTCTGGATGTCCTGAGGAAGAGTAAATGATAGCCGTACACTAGCCTCTGGAGAATCCAGGGAGATCCTGTGGAATCCTGTGGAAACATCTTAAGGATTTCTATAGGATATGTTAGGGATATTTTTCATACGTTAAAAGGGGAACAAATTCTAAAATTTAAATATAAATTAAGATTGCGTTCTGTTATTTACTGCCAATACTAAAAATCTAATACTAAAAATAGTTCACGTTCTTTAATATTTGAGGTTTTCGTGCTGTACATGAATATTTTAGGTTTGGCTTCCGGATTTGAGTCGTGTAATATTTTCAAAACAATCCAATATCTGAATTCCCTATGTTGGGATTGCATCAGAAAAATTGAACTGATAAAAAATAATTATATTTTTAATTTCCTGTTAGTTGCTCTTTGCAAGCTTTATATAATTCTCATGACCAAATCTCAAATACGAGTTCGCGCGTCGCATAGCGGTAAACAAACGAACTAGCGGTTGAATACTATTTTTTGTAAAGTTTTTGAAATGTTGCGCATAGTAACATTTCTCATGAAATATTAAATAAATAATAATTTTGAATATGTGAAAATGTGCGCATCAAATTCAATTATTAATATTAAACGAAATTATATATATATATATACATTGTATAGGGAAATATCATCATATTTCTTATATAGAGACAGTAGAAAAAGTCATCGCTTCTTTTTGAATGCAACATTTAATATGCACTATGAGCGATATATTTTATTCTACGCTTGATTTGTTCATTTTTCATATGTTATAATCCTATTATCTTTACATAGCATTTTATGGATTTTTTGCATATATCTTAGGTGGCGACGTTCTCTCCAATTGACGTTCCCTGGGTGAAACAGATAATGTCCGAAACTAATCTAGAAACTGCACAAACTATCGATAATGGTTACGATTATCGGAAGAGTAACTTACCAGCGGGTAATCAATATCTGCCCCCAGTATAAAAATGATGCGGTGTATATTTATACTGTCGTGTAACATATTTTTTTAATACTCACGAGTGTTAAAACGAGGACAGAGGAGTGCTCGCATAATTCTCGATTTAACGTAATGCTGCCGAAAGTAATTAATGGTTTTAATAGAGTTCATATACTAAGTCGCGAGAGAAGGGCCGAGCAATTGTCAGAAATAATTATAAATAATGGATAGCGTTATAAATAATTTCGTTGCCGATATACTCAACTTATGCTAAAATATTTTATGCTGCATTTTCGAATATTCGAAATTCTTATAATGTAAAAAGATCCGATATATAATAGTAATAGATATCTTTTGCTAGAATTGTTTTGTATAATGAACTTATCGATATCGAAATCGATATTATTTAGTATCGGAGTAAGAGAGGTCAGAGCAATAGCGTATAACAATAAGAAAATACATAAACTCCTAGATTTTAGACGCAAACGTATTTATTTACCTGATGTAATGCTAAAATTTTACATATGCATATGTATACTCATATAAAGGAAACATTGTATAAACGATATATGCTTTTGCGTAAGATTAAGCTATAAAGAAAGATCTGTCAAAAAATTATATTACATTTAATAAATATTTTCTTAGGAAAAAATATTTTATAGGCATTATCATAATTAATTTAATAAAATGTACAAACCTTTTTAATTTGTATTCCTCAACGTCTCAATATCTTTACTAAGAGTTATATAATTATGTTTTTTTACGTAAACTGCCAATAAACAGAAATAGCAAAGTGTACTTATTTTTGGATTAATATACTTAATTGTCTTTTTTGAATGTAATAAACTTATGTATGCGTAATAATTTCCACTTATTATTTTTAAGAAAAAACGCACGACAAATTACAACAAGGATAATAACTGTTGCGCAAAGTAAGTTTAAAAGCCGATCGTCGAGATAGGTTTTGATAAGTTTCTCTGAAATACTTAAATAAATGTCGAGAAACTTACAAGCTAAAAGGTCGTAAGTTTATCGTTGAAATAGAGAGATAAGAAGTTATAAATTCGAGATAACGATTAAACATTTGACACGTGCACAGTAATTTAAAAGTAATTAAGTATAAATCATGAGCTGCACATCTACATACGCAGAGATAAATAGATTCTAGTTTATGTAACAATTTATATTGATATATAAAATAAGCAGATTTTGTTACTGCTTATATACAGAATCCCATAGGACCGCGTTTAAGGCTGCGACCATGTCTTTCTCAATCCACTACCCAGCAAGCAAAATGATGCAAAGTTTGCAGCAAACCCGAGCATGCCTTTACAGCAAAATTGTGACAAGGTGTGTCCGCATCCACCATGTTGTAAAACATATAATACAACATTATACATATGATTTTTTTACAGAACTTCTCTCTCTTTAATTTCTATTTGATAAATTTGTTTGCATTTTTATAATATCCACAAATAGAAAAAAAGAATAATCGAATGTAAATTTTTTTTATGAGAGAATATTCTTATAGCCTTAAACAAGTGTTCTTTTATATGACATCTTGCGCATCAACACGCGCTATGCCTTTCTAATTGAGTTAAATGACTCTCTATTAAATAAAAGGAATCTTATAGTGTATCATAACAGAATGGGGCATATCGATACAACAAGATATGTATTAACGTTTGTTATTGTTTCAAAAGATTTATTTAAAATACTTGTTATTAGTAATTAGTAAAATCAAATAGATATAAATATAAATACAATGTATAATTAATTATATTACATTAGAGCGCGCCGTCATGCACGTGGTCAATATGGATCTTCCATCGCATGACATCATGCTGCCAAGATTAAGATTATAATAATATCGCATAACATAATCTACAGCAAAATATATCATAGTATCAGTAATAACACGTGTTAAATCAATGTCAAAGTTTTCTATAGATATGCTATCATGTCAGTACTATCGATTGTTAAAATTTAAATCCAAGATATCTGCGTACTTGCCCGTAAATCGTATATATTTGATTTTTGATTTATGATTGTTAGAGAGAGAGAGAGAGAGAGAGAGAGAGAGAGAGAGAGAGAGAGAGAGAGAGAGAAAGATAAATATAGATAAAAAAAAATAATAAACGTTCATGCGTATGTACTGTAGAGAGAAAATTTATTATAAGTTTAGAAAAAATACAATCTTTCTTTATTCTCTATTTATTATTCGATAGTGTATTTATTAAAAATATAATTGTTTTTTCTTAAATACGTAATGCATCAATAATAGAAAACAAAATGTATCTATCTAAAAATAATATGATTAATTAATTTCTTTTTTTTGTATGCAACGAACTCTGATAATCTTTATTTATCATTTTCAACAAGAAACGCACGACAAATACTATAGCAATAATAATAATTGCTATACAAAGTAGAAGAAAGGCAAACACATCGACGAGAGATAACTGCCACCAAGTCAAATCCAATGCAGGCGATCGCAAGACGTCGCTGCCGTATTTAATAATATATTCGATCCAAAAAATAGCGGTATCAAGCGCGTTTAACGGCCGATCGAGAAATTTTTGAGACAAGTTTCGAGCAGATTCTCTGAAACAAACAAATAATGAGAAAAGTATAAGCTAAGAGCTAATTTATCGTTGAAAGCGAAAGATAAGAACTTGCAAATTTGAAATAACAATCAAATATTTATACCATATTTAAGACTAATTAGATATAAATCATGAGCTGCATGTATCACATCTGTACATGCATAGAGATATTCTCTCTGTTTAAAAAAATTATGTTAGTTTTTATGAAATTAGAAACAGATTGTGTGCTAGTACTTATATATAGGATCCCATAAGACTGCGTTTAAGGCTGCGTCCATGTCTTTTTCTGTCATTTTTTTGAAGTCCAATTGCACGGCAATGTTTCTGGCAACATATGCATCAATATTCATAAACTGATCGGCAAAGAGTGGTATACCGATCATTGGGACACCGTATGCTACCGCTTCCTGCGTTCCCATGAGTCCGCCATGAGTGATGAAGGCTCTTATCTTAGGATGCTCTACGGCAGTATTGTATTTACATATTGGATAATTTTATAATTTCTATAAAATAATGACTCACTCAATATTTTAATTTGCGACATCCAAGGAGATGTGTAAACATTTTCGGGTAAACCGGGTGGCAATTTCTCCGGATTCGGTATCTTCATTAAAACACGCACGGGTGCTATTTTGCCTAAAGAAGCGTAAAGTATATTCAGGAACTCGCGTGGAAACGTCTCAATCATTACCATAGAGCCAAAAGTGAAGTAGACGAAACCGTCTTTACTATCGTTTATCCATTTTTCCAAATCCTGCGAAAAAATTTGTTGATGCAAAACAAATATATATATATATATACATACATTTGTTTACGCTATACGTTTATGTTATATCTTTCATAGATAATAATTAAAAGAAAGAAATATAATTTATATTCTATAACTTAAACTCGTATCATTTGTGTTATCAGTAACTGATAATAGATTCAGGTCATATGATATTTTCGCTATTAAAGAAAATAGATTATTATAAAATATTTCGTAATATGAATCAAATGGAATTAGAATTATTATGTTTAATACATTTTTCGCGTGTCATTATTCATCGATGATTCTTTCTATGCATCAGTATCACGCAAAAAAGATCTATATATCAACAAATAAATCATAATTTAAAAAAAACCATTGTTGAAAAATTATGTACAATACGATTGAATGTTGTTATTGTCTTTTATGCGATGCTAATTAGTTTTTTTACTGTACATTTATTTCGTACATCGTAAATCGTGAACTATTGTTACAGCGCTAATCATTTATTTTGATAATTTTGCTAATGAATATTAATGTAATGCTATATATGAAGATATAAAGTATTGTAACAATCTGAAAATTAATTAAACTCTACATAATTATATATATTAAATCTCTATACACACACTCTCTCTCTCTCTCTCTCTCTTCCTCTCTCTCTCTCTCTCTCTCTCTCAATCTCTCTCTTTCTCTCAATCTCTCTCTCCCTCTCTCTCTCTCTCTCTCTCTCTCAATCTCAATCTCAATCTCTCTTTCTTTCTCTAAATATATTTCTCTATTAAACTCTGATAAATTAATTTTTTAAGAGTATGCCAGACCGTCTTGTTTTACCGACCATAATAATTATATTAAGCAAATATTGTTAGGCCCTGCGCACAATAGAGAAAATATTAGGAATAGGAATAAAATATTAAATATCAAGAAAAGCAATTTGGAATTATTTTACTTCAAACGGAACGGAATGGATTAACGCATAATGAAATAACAAAATAAAAATTAGAAATAATTAATCCATTCCGTTTCCTTGTTTGAAGTAAAATAATTCCAAATTGCTCCTCCTGATATTTAATATTTTATTCCTATTTCTAATATTTTCTCTATCGTGCGCAGGGCTTTACGACCTGACGCAAGAAGCCGGTAAAAAAACTATAATTTTTTAGCTTTTCTTCGTTTTTAACATAAACTCGTGAAGCCTCATCTTTGTTTCGATGTGTACTTAAATCATGGAAAAGGATTTCTTATTTCATGTAATCAATAAAAAAATTGTGGTCTGCAAAGTATAATTATTATGGCCGGTAGAACAGGACGGTCCGGCATCCTCTTAAACTGCAAAATTGATATATTGGATTTTTTATTTATTTCTTTCAAAATACTAATGACAAGCCAACGAATTGATTTTTAAGGTTTGATCTTTAAAGATTTACAAATATGCAAACACACAATATGCAAACTGCATAAAAAAATTTACATATTGATGATTCTTTAAAGCGTTTTTTATGAAATATTATCAAGTATTATTAGTGTGACTACAAGAAACTAAATTGTCCCTTACGGATTGCGCGAATCGCTTCATGTGCCATATTGAAAAAGTGAAAATGGTTCTTATATAGATCGAAAGAGTCGACTTACAGGTCGTAACGTTAAGCCTTCGTCCTGGATATGCAGTCCCCCCACATCCACAGCGGCAGGTATCTTTGGCTGGATCCTATTTAGAGTAAAGTGAGAATTGATGAGGATCAATGCTACTTTGGATTCTATTTCCCGTACGCTCGGCATGTCATGTCCAAAGTGCTTTCTTATTATCTCGTCCTGCACTCTCGTGAGATAATTAAAGTACAACTTGGAATAGAGCGTGTGCAGCGTATTGTACAAACGTTGCCAGAAATTCATGGGACTAGTAAAACTCAAACAATTGTTCGGTATGAAAGCCAAGTTCTCTGGTTGAGCGATCAGTGGAGGTATCCATGGGTACAGTGACGTTGTGCTGATCCCGATCAAAGGAATGTTCCACAAATGCGCGAAGATTCCGAAACAATGAGCACCAAAGACCTAACATGGAGCACATATCTTAAAACATATGATATAAGAGATATCAGTGTAAAAGTTCGTGACATTAATATAAATTAGCGAATATTGTTAGTGAGAATAATTGATCTAAAATATTTGCCAAAGTATAAAAAACATTACATATAATTTGAAGTAATACATATTTATTAACTAAAACGGTTATCATTGGCTTTGGTGTACTTTTAGACAGAAAAAGAATCATTTAAACTTCGTTTAAAAGATTCTGAAGTCTTTATTTGATTTACAATAAAATTGGATAAAGAAACGAGAAGCACTTAAATCAATTTAATATCTAATTTGTCTATTGTGTAAATCTTATTAGTAGATAATAGCAGAGAGACTTACACATTGCAAAAAAATTGATGTATCAATATTTGTTGATAAATAAACTTTTTGTCTTTAAACGTAAGAAAATTCTATACATTACATGCAAAGTAAAATAACTTGTGATTATCGAAAACTACACAGGTCAGCATAATTTTTTTTTCTGCGGTCTGGAAAAAACGAATATTTTTTTACATAATTTTTTGTGCGCTGAATCCAAATCCACAAAATAAAATAGCCTATCACAGGTTTTCGAGAAAAACGGGATTGTTTACCATTTTCGAAAATTCGTAGCAGACGAACCCGATATACAAGAGACTTTAGACAAGACTCAAATGGATAGTAGAAAAATGAAATAGTAAAAATTTTAATCATAGATTCAATACATGAGATTAAAAGTGTTTATAAATCGTTCTATTAAGGTTCAATAGTACGTGCGGTAAAAGATTCGATATTTTTATATTAAAGTACAATGTTCAAACTTTTATTTGAGTCCTGTCTGAAGTTTCTTGCACGTCGAGTTTGTTTGCTACAAATTTTCAAAAATGGTAAAAAAATACGTTTCTTGGGAATTTCAACCCTGTTTTTCTCGAAATACTGACGTGATAGGCCATTTTGTCTTGCGGATTTGGATTCAACGCACAAAAAACTATAGGAAAAGGAAACTATTCGTTTTTTCCAGTCCGCACAATTATGCAGACTTGTGCTATTAATGATAGTTGTAGCATACATCATTGTATCAATGCCTTCACAAGTGTCATATTACCAGCAATTAAGAAAAGTTCAAGAGAATTCATCTTTTACATCAGAAGCATGACTGGCTATTAATTGAAAACATGATTATAAGCTTGAGCAAAAAGAGAAGTTTATGCGTGACTAGTATAACAAAAATCTTCGGCTGTATTTAAAAAAAAATATATTATTACATTCCATATATCATCAAGAAAAAAAAAGCATAAAAGAATAACATAAAAAAAGAACAAACACGATAAATTTATTTATATTGATATTTGCACGCTGTTTATATATGATTATTGGTTCAGTAACGTAAATGCATGCTCTTAAAGGGACATACCCGTTTGAAACCTCGAAAAATGAGTACATATTTTTAGACCTTTTTGCTGCGCAACTTGATAAAAATTTTTAATTTTTTTACAATATTAATACAATATTATTAACTACCTAAACAAAAATTTTCAACCTAAAAAAAATTTTTTTTCTAAAGATATGCAAATATTTGCAGATTTATGTTTTCATACACGGTGTGCATGAAAACTCGGGTTATGTTCGACGGATTGACTTCAAATTTTACATACGAGTTTCTAATAAGATTCCGCATCTGCCAACGAAGCCGTTTTTTAATCCGATTCCCCATTTTTTTGTTATAAAAAAAGATGGACTTTTTTTCAAAAAAACCGAAACTTTTTTTCAACACCCCACTATTTTTTTATGTTTTGAAATTTAAAAAAAAAACGCTTGGATAGCTATAACAATGTTTAATAAAAAAAACTTGGATTTTTTATTTCAGATATGATCTACGAACGTTTTCATGCACAGCGTGCAGCCACCTAAAATTTGAAGGAGCTCCGCAAATATTCCCATAACTTCAAAAAAACAATTTTTTTATGCTGAAGATTTTTTTTAAGTAATTAATAATATTGTATTAATATCGTAAAAAAATTAACAATTTTTATCGAGTCGTTGCGCTGCAAAAAAATCTGGAAAATGTACTCATTTTTCGAGGTTCAAAACGGGTATGCCCCCTTAAGCAAGTGAGAGTAGCTTATCTAAGAGTGTATATATATTTAATAATAAAAGAAAAAAATACATTTCGTTTTAATTCAGCATTCTTAAATTTTAGTTGTTAATTGCAGTTTTTAATTATCAGCTGTTTTAGCTTTATTAATATAAATAATTTATTTAGTCATGTGTAGGATTTTATTATCAATTCACATTGTATTCTATTATAATCTATTGCATTTTGTTACATGATTAATGATCCTATTACATGTTTAATGACTCTATTAATACTCCATTACTAATTCATACATTTACTCACATTTTTCTAAATGGCGCTTGTATGCATTGCTTTTTCTTTGATTTTTGGATATTAATTAAAATAAAATGACATAGGCTCAAACATATAAATCAATATAAGATATAATGATAAGTTAATACCAAAACAGCTGATATAAAAGCGTGTGAGAATGTATATTAATCCGAAAGTTGACAATGAGTATAAATTGAAAAATTAAATCACAAAAAAAAAATTACATTGATCAGACGTTTTGATCTCCGCTTTAGGATCCTCTTCAGTGGAACATAATATTAAGTCGTTACGTAAACATAAATATAAAAGTAATCGCAAGTCGTTACGTAAACATAAATATAAAAGTAATTGCAAGTCGTTACGTAAACATAAATATAAAAGTAATCGCAAGTCGTTACGTAAACATAAATATAAAAGTAATCGCAAGTCGATACGAATAAGATCAATAAATTCGTTATGTTATATAAACAATACCCATGTTAATAATAAAACGGAAAATAATTTAAATTGTATGGCTTAATATTATGTTCCACTGTAGGCCTATTCTCTAATTTCGTAACGACGATGTCGTTATCGCTACGCGTCGTTGCGCAGCTGAAACATATCGGAAAATAGCTGCGTAACGATGCGTAACGATAGCGGATTTGTCGTTAAAAATTACAGGATAGGGCTGCTAAGGAGGTTCCCAAAGTGAAGATCGAAACGTCTGGTCAATGTAATTTCTTTTTGTAATTTAATTTTTCAATTTGTACTCAGCTTTCGAATTAATACATTCTCGCACGGTTTACGTTTGTTGTGTTGGCTCTGGTATTGGCCTATCATTATAGTTTATACTTTGATTTAGATATTAATATTTTACCATCTTTATTTGTATATCTTTATTATGACCAATCATAAATTAAATTAAAAATAAAAGAAAATCAACAAAGATATTTTTATCATCAGATGCATCGGATATAATATTTTATTGCAAAAAATTAAAACTAATTAAATCTAATTAAAGCTAATAAAAAAATATTTTTAATTTTTCTTAGTAGACTTTAATATTCTTTTTCACGAATAAATATAATAAGAAAAATCTGTATGAATCCAATGAAAAACCTGACGCTGTATACTAAGATTTTTACTCACTTCTATGAGCACCGCGTCATAAGGTGGATCTTTCGGTGGATTACGCGCCAGCTCTTGAATCGCCGGATTTTCCAAATATTCGCAAACATTATTGCCTGCCACTGTTGCAACAGCATGCACTGGACTACCTCTAAACAACTGTTGCATGTATTCATACGACAGATTGTTAACTAATACTAGAGGCGGCACAAGCTCCACAATATCAGTGTAATTAGGATAAGGTCTTTTCAATGGAAAGGAACTGATCACGTCGACTTGATGACCCTTCCTGGATAAGCCTTTCAACAATTGCTCGAACATAATGAAATGGCTCTTACCAAAAAAGGGAAAGAACAACCAAAAAAATACTATTTTTGGCATCCGCATTTTTTCACGCACTACTATATGAATCTGAATCCGGTGCACTAGAGATAAAGAAATGATTAATTCGATAAATTGTTTTGTTGGAACTTTCTATTGCTTTATTTGAAATTATTTGGATTCTATTGTTATATTTTATTTAATTATTTATTTAAAATATAATATTTGTTCTTTAAATTAATTTCATTAAATTCAAACTTTTTTTAGACGTGATGAGTTTTAACTTAATTGTTAATATATTTAAATGTCCAATTAAATATTCTCTCTCTTTATGAATAATTTGGCTATTATTATACACAATATATTGTTGTAGAATAAAATGATTAAATATAATAACACTGTAAATATTATATAATGACACTTATGACACTCTGTCAACTATATAACTGACAATGAGTGGTATATAAGACTGACAATTTTAAATATAGATGGTTGCTGATCTGCTGATGGTGGAGATCTGCGCGAAACGGACGAGTTTCTGTCCGACCCGATGTTATTCTCTCTTTGGATGGAGTAGTGTTTCATTATCGCAATGATAAGCAAAAGCATTAATAATATGATTCCTTTGCAGTTTTAGAATTTATTGCTTGTATAGTGGTACTAGCTTGCCCACAAAAGCAAAGTACATGAACATAATTATAATCGTTATTATTTTGGTCTTAAATTCTTTTCTTAATTTATTGCTCTCAAGATGTATGTATATTTTGTTGTAGTAAAGAATATCATATTAAGTTCTCCTCGCAAAAAAAAATTAAATATATTTAGTAATATTAATACATGCATATTTAATATATAGAATTTATAATATATGTTGCATATTATTAATAAAAATTATAACATAAAGTAGTGATAATTTTTATATTAGCGTAAAGTCGATAACTGCTAAAAAATTACTTTTTTAAAAAAAAGTGAAAAAAAGCGCCAAGGGCACGCGCATAAGCGTCTTTTACTATAAAAGAACTCTTATACAAAATAGTGTTATTTTAATTATTTTAATACAAAAACACTGTCACATCCAAACTAAAAAACTGTTTCACAAAATAGTTGTTTTAATTTTCTACAAAAATAATGTGATATATGATAAAAATATTGCGCCAAATAATAAAAATTTATGTTACAAAATTTATTTATTATTATTTCTAATATTAAGAATTGTATCAAATTGCAATGTGATTAAAATAGTGGAACATATTTAAGTGAAAGAAATTTTTTATTAAGAAAACAAATTTCAGTATAAAATAACTTTTTAATTAGAGAAAAACTTGGCGCTGCAAAAATTCAAAATGTAAATAATACGTTAATTAGCATATGTTCAGTTTAGCAGCGCCAAGTTTTTCTCTAATTAAAAAGTTATTTTATACTGAAATTTGTTTTCTTAATAAAAAATTTCTTTCACTTAAATATGTTCCACTATTTTAATCACATTGCAATTTGATACAATTCTTAATATTAGAAATAATAATAAATAAATTTTGTAACATAAATTTTTATTATTTGGCGCAATATTTTTATCATATATCACATTATTTTTGTAGAAAATTAAAACAACTATTTTGTGAAACAGTTTTTTAGTTTGGATGTGACAGTGTTTTTGTATTAAAATAATTAAAATAACACTATTTTGTATAAGAGTTCTTTTATAGTAAAAGACGCTTATGCGCGTGCAATTGGCGCTTTTTTTTCACTTTTTTTTTAAAAAGTAATTTTTTAGCAGTTATCATTCCTTTTTTTTTTTGCAGCGCCAAGTTTTTCTCTAATTAAAAAGTTATTTTATACTGAAATTTGTTTTCTTAATAAAAAATTTCTTTCACTTAAATATGTTCCACTATTTTAATCACATTGCAATTTGATACAATTCTTAATATTAGAAATAATAATAAATAAATTTTGTAACAAATTTTTATTATTTGGCGCAATATTTTTATCATATATCACATTATTTTTGTAGAAAATTAAAACAACTATTTTGTGAAACAGTTTTTTAGTTTGGATGTGACAGTGTTTTTGTATTAAAATAATTAAAATAACACTATTTTGTATAAGAGTTCTTTTATAGTAAAAGACGCTTATGCGCGTGCACTTGGCGCTTTTTTTTCACTTTTTTTTAAAAAAGTAATTTTTTAGCAGTTATCATTTCTTTTTCTTTTTTTAATGTGTCATGTACATGTTTTGCTACTATACATATGTTTACGAGCAGTCAGATAAAACTAATATATCTATCATATTTCTGAATTATAAAAAGCAACCCTTTTATTGATTTGATTTCTATTGAACAATATCTATTTGTACATTCTTTTTTTAAAAAAATTATTATCATTAAAATTAAAATATATTATTATATATGCTTGTGCTATGCTATAAATTGTTTGATTAATCCGTCTTGTATCTTGATTATATATCAAAAACGAAAGATGTAAAAAGAAATCCAGTGTATTCAAATGCATTTGTCAAAGGATTGTCATCATATAGTTATTTGTCATGCATCATATGCAATTATAGGTATAAGTAATATTGGTGAAACAGGCTGTGTGTGCGATTAAGTCTTATAAATTTCTATTTATATTTTATTTCTATTTCTATCTATTTTTTTTAATAATTTATAAATTTTTATAATAAATTTATAAATACATTTATTTTTCAATGGAACTAGAAAAATTTTTCAAACTGTTCAGATTTTGACAAAGTCTGCGACAACATGTCTATTGTAAACCAATCCTTGTATCGATACTAAAAAGAACAAAATAATGAATAATATCAGTTTTAATAATAAATTTCTTCTGTCAAATATATATACCAAATAGCATTCCGACAGATAGAAAAATACAACGTAACAAATCTATTATATTCATTAACAATACTAGAACATGCTTCATCTATTGCAAGCAATGCATTCGTATCGAAATAAGAATTAACTATAATATGTTGATTTGCAATAAATATGATGCCACAGGCTTTTTCAAAATCTTATCAATAGCTTGAAAAATTCTTCTACTTCCACTGAAAAATAAATGTATATTTATGAATTATTCATAAGACAAGCATTAACTTTACACACAGACTGCATTTCACCAATGTTATTTATATTTATCTGTAGTCATATGATGCATGACGAATAACTATATGATGACACTCCTTTAACAAATGCATTCAAATATACTAGATTCTTGTGTGCGTATGCCTATATTACTGTTCGCAGTTATCCATACTGGTTTTTGATAGGTATTTGACGTTAAATTTTCCAGAGTGCAACATTATATAGCGTAGCACTCTTTCATTTATAAAAAAGTAAAGCTGCAAAATTCTTCCTGATATTTCTGGATAGTTGAATCTATAGAATACACACACACACATATCATATAATAAACATATAGAATACATACATCTCTTTCTTATAAATATATGTATTGCGATGCTTTATTCTGTTTTTACACGTAGCATAATAGCATAAATTAATGTTTTAGTTCTCTCTAATATAAATGAGATATACCTGATGCAACTATCCACAAGTATTACGAAGAATTTTGCATTTTTGCATTTTTATAAATGAAAGCTCGCGTATAGATACCCGGGGTGCCTCGCT